AGCAGCAGGAGAACTTGCACCCTAAACCCTACCTGGGCAACCTGAGCGAACTGGAATGGTTTCTTCCCCAGCGCAACTTCCTAGGTAAGGACCCAAATCTACAAACCAAAAGTGGTTTGGCAGGAAAAATTGTGTTTCTGACTGTCGGGTTTTCCAAGTAAACCCTTGACCCGCTTCCTTCCCTAAACCCTAAACCCTATGTCACAAGCGTTTGCCAGGTGTTGGCCTTTCAAGGCAAGTACGGCGAAGCTGCTCAGTGCCCGGGGCAGTTATTCCAAGTCAGGATCGCGCGGTAGCCGGTAGTATGCATAAGTAAGGGGACCCCAATGTAGACCCCCAGAAGCACCCTTCCAACAAAAACAACACCGACTTTGCGAAAATTCCTTGTGTGCCTGGGCCGTTTCGGTCTACACCTGATGGCTACTTCGAGCCCCAAAATCTACAACTGGTATCTACATTGGATATTGGAAAGAAAAATGCACTTACCAATACTGAGGTAATAGATTATTTTGTACAGTTGTGGTACAGGATACTCCAAGTACTTCAAGCAGGCCTGAACATAGTACTGGCAATTTTTCGGCCCCTACATCACCTAGGTAATCTTAAGTATGCGGTAGGATTGCAAAGGTGTTGCAGCCGGAGGGGGGGAGTACGTAGGCCTATTCAAAGTAGCATGTCAACATGCGGGAGTTTCTCGGCATTGCGGCTTTTGGGGCGTGATCATGCTCTGTTATGGGTGGGTAGGAGACCAAGTTTGAGAAAGCCAGACGCATTTGGTAATTTCCCAACATTGGTGGAACCCAACATAGACCCCAAATACTAGAGTCCCTATTATGGGAACCCCAAAATGGTACCCCTAATTTTGGGAAACCCTAATCCCTAAACCCTAAACCCTACATATTCCTATATAACCCCTATATAACCCCTATATAACCCCTATCAACCCCTTTAAAGGTACCCCTAATTTTGGGAAACCTCCATTTAGTAGGCCAGTCAAGATCCTAAACAGCGACTGACAGTACCGAGGCTCATCCATCATCTTAGGAAACTGCTGAACTGTTTAGGGTTTAGGGTTTAGGGGCACATCCCCCTAAACCAGAAGCCCTAAGTACCTGGACCCCCAAAAGTATGTAGAATAGGTTAACAATGGACATGAAAATGGAGACTACTATCGTATTCAGGGTTTAGGGCCCCAAAAGTATGTAGAATAATTGCCTTTTGGGCTAGTTTAAAGGGTTTTGAGCTATTATGTTAGCTGCTTTGGCGCTTCAGGTAACTCCATTTTCTGCAAGAGTCAGGGTAAAGACTCTGACTCATGATGTACCACAGGGGCCTAAACAACTACCTCTAAGGGTCTCTTTGAATGGGTTTAAGGGTTTATGTAGGGGATGTAATGTTTTGGGGTATACAGAATGGAGAATCAAAGGTGAATAGATTTGAGACTGGGTCTAGACAGCGGGTTATATGGAAAAGTTCACTTACATGGTCCTTGAGTGCTCGTGCAACTCTGGCATAGGGCACCTTAAATAGACTTGAAAATGAACTAGTAGTTATTCAGGCTTCTAAAACAAAGCAAGGGTGTCGATGAGGTGCGGTTGCCAACTGGGGTAGGCGTGGAGCAATCAAAAGGATCAGATATCTCAGAACTGCGCAGCTGATATGAGCTATGGTCTAAACTCCTTTAAGCAGGTTACACAGGGGATTATATAGGGGACTACTACTGGGGTTCTAAAGGGGGATACCAGGAGTTTAGACTATGCCTCATGTGCAAGGTTCATAACAAGACGGAAAGAAGTTTTGGTCATTGGCAAAATGAGACAGCTCATCAGGTGTCAGCAAGTAATGGTGATAGATGAAGCAACTAGTAAGGGCAGTCTCCCCAAGTGGACACCCCAGAAACAGCCCACCATTCTCACCTACTTGATTCTCCATCATTAGTTCGTATCTCCTCATAGTATCCTAAAACCTAAACCCTTGGGTGCCCAGGCTAGTAGCTTGCACGGCACCACAGAGAATGTGCAAACAACTTGCAGGTACTATGGCCGGGCACGGGCATACCACGCTGCAGTGGAGATGCCGGTAGCCCAGAAACTGGGTTGCTGTTGCGGAACTAAAGTTAAGTTACCATGAGAAGGAAACAAGATGATTTACTATATACTCATATTATGTCATGGCAACTTAGATGAAGTTCCTTAACAGCAGCCCAGGAAAAGGCATCGGCCTTCGAAAGGATGTGTCCCACGGGGCCCATGTATCATTAGGGAAGCCTGTTAAGCCCCCAAATTACGCCCGTATTCGGTTTAGGGTTTGGGGTTTAGGGATATGATACGCATGGGGTTCTTGTGTTTGGGGCCGGGTTTACCCAAACGAGGTATGTAGGATATACCAAGGGCACGAAGGGGTTCCCAATATAACTTCTTCGGGGCCCAGGCATATCCGAAAGAGCTACATGCAGCCATTGGGGGTGTAGGGGTTACTTAGGCTTGCATTTGAGTTTAGGCTCTGGACAGATTCCCAGTTGCTGCCAGAAAGACAGACCCTCTAAGAAGCCCATAGGTTCGCTTATCTTAGGGTTCACTGTTAAGGGTTTAGGGCGTCTGTCCTACTGGGCGGTCCCGAGAATCTACATAAAGGAAGTGCAAAGAAGCTTGCTGTACAGGAGCTAAGGACTTTCTGTCAGAGATCCTGCCAGGCTTGTATCGACGCAAGTGAACAGGAGTTTAGTATGTTTTCCCTCAACGCTAAACCCTATACATTCCTGGAAACTGACATGGAAACCCAAAAGGGGCCCCATAAAGCCTACAGTGCCTCTAAAATGGCGCTATACGGGTTTCCATGTTAGTTTGGGGGAGTGTAGACCCCAAGCCTCGGCTAAACGACATGCCCCGAAGCCGAAGAGACCTCCCCAAGCCCAACAAAAAGAAACCAGTACCTTACAAAACTCAGACAAGTAGTTTAGGGTTAGCCACGCGGTTTAGGGTTTAGGGCTTAGGGTTTAAAGGGTTTGGGGTTAAGGGATTAGGGTATCATGGGACTAGATCGTAGCGATGGAGGTACCCCAGGACCAACAAAGACCACCTCGGAAGCCCTTTGTGTGATGGAAGCAATCCTGCACCACGCAATGTGAGCTACGGACTAAATTTAAGTCGGGGGTGACCTATAGGGGATCTATTAAGGGATGTGCTACAGTTTTGGTCCAGGGCTCATATACTTCCAAGTCCAGAAATTACAGTATGCTAGAGTCCTAGATGGTGCCAGATTTCCGTCATCCAAATCCTCAACCGGTAAACCTTGACCCTAAGCCCAAAACCCTTCAACTAAAACCCTAAGGCTTAGACCCTAAACCCTAAGCCTTCAACCCTACTCCCTAAGCTTTAAACCCTAATCCCAAACCCTAATCCCTAAATCCTAAACCCTAGACCCCCTATCCTTCAACCCCCAGACCCTATAACCCCAGGGTCCATGAGCTGCCAAGGTTTACGGAGCTCCGGAAGTGGGAAGAAGCAAAGCACTGGGCCTTGCAGGGAGAGAAGGCGGGGAGTTCAGGGTTTAGGGGAGTTTAGGGTTTAGGAGAGTTTAGGGAAGGAAGATCCTACGCAGAAAGGCCACCAATTTGATGGTCGTTTTGGGGACAAGTAGTTTGAACAACTGCAACATGTCAAACAGGCAATGATTGAATTATTGGAGGGCTCTTCTGAACACTACCACGATGATCACCACCGACCGCCACCGCCACCGCCACAGCCACCACTGCCGCCACCACCGCCGCCACCACCACCGCCGCCACCACAGCAGCAGCAGCAGCACCAGCACCAGCACCAGCACCAGCACCAGCACCAGCACCAGCACCAGCACCCGCACCCGCACCCGCACCCGCACCAGC